CCCACACACCCCGGGACACCCGCACACCCGGGACCCCCGCACACCGCGGGATCCCCACACACCCCGGGACCCCCGCACACCCGGGACCCCCACACACCGCAGAGTGCTCGGCCCTGAGGAGAGGCGGCTCCTCGAGGCGAAGCGTGTAAGAGCGCTCAGTAGTAACGTGTTTGCGGAGAGGCGGATGGAGGCAGAACGCTGAGTGCTGCACGCCGGGGGCTGTGGGACAGCACAGGCTGCCCCATCCTCCCAGCCCTTCTGCGGGAATTAATTTCGAGTAAAAAGTCCAGGAGAACGTCCATGAGCAGCCACGGATTTCACCTGGTAGAGGGGAGTTACAGAGATGGAGGCATCGGTGGCGTTTCAGAGCATGAGGGCTCTCTAATGGGATATAGGAGGTGTATTTATTCCCTTCATGAAATTAATAAAATAAAAATGAAGTGGTTGTCTGGGAACGGACAGCAGCAGGAATTTCCTCATGGAAAGGGCGGCCAGGCCTTGGAAGTGGCCAGGGAGGTTTGGAGTCCCCGTCCCTGGAGGTGTCCAAGGAAGGATGGAAGTGGCACTCTGGGCTGGGGACAAAGTGGGCATCGGGCACAGCTCAGACTCGATGATCCTGGAGGGATTTTCCAATCTCAGTAACTTTGTGATCCTGGGAAGGCTCCAATTACTACAATACTCCTGTAATACTCATTCCACACTCCTCAATCTCCAGCTAGAAATCGATCAGAAACACTCAAGCAAATGTATAAATGACAGCAAGAATGCCCAGCTGCCAGGGCACATTAACCAGAAGACAGCTCAGAAGTTTAAGCACAAAAGAAGCCCCACACTTCTGAGAACCCCTCGTGTGGAGGAGCCCAGGGGGCGCCCTGGGGGGACCCCAGACCCGGGCGGGGGAACCGGGATCCCTCAAGGAGCCGCAGCGGGGGAACCGGGACCTCTCAAAGATTTGGGGCGGGGGAACCGGGATCCCCTCATGGAGCTGGGGCGGGGGAACCGGGACCCCTCATGGAGCTGGGGCGGGGGTCCC